GCTTCTCTTGTTGGGTATTTGCCCTTTTTTCACGCTGTATAATGTTGTGCCTGAGTTTGACACAGTGGAGCAGCAGGAAAAAAAAAAAAAAAAAACACTTCACTTCAGAAAGCTCAAAAACTTACCAAAAGAAAAACTTTTACTTGAGCCAATCAACTTTTTAAAACTATATATAAGTGCTTTACTAATAGTCAAATTCACCATAATACATCCATTCCGTGTAATATTTAGCAGCAGCAGCATTTCAAGTAGCTGGCTCCAATAAGGACAATCCACTAGAAGAGATAAAAGTGTACCAGATTTCCCTGGTTATAGTTTCTGTTGCTCAGAAACTTCTATTTTTTTTTTCTATGGAGCTTCCTAGCTTTTCTTTAGAAGTGAGTTTTAAGGCCCCCTAGCTAAAATTATTTCTTGAGTTGACTATATCTGCTTTCAAACTATGCAGTTACTTACTTGTGTACCTAATGACCAGCTTCTCTCAGCGCTTCTGGTCTTATCAGAAAAAGAAAAGCTACTTGCCAGAGAATATTACCTATTTTCCTGAGTTCTTTTGTTCATCTGACTTCAAGCAAGGAAGCCTTTGGATAACTGTGAATAAAAACTAACTATCTTCTTTGCCATAAGACAAAACCATTTTCCTGAACTTATCTGCAGAAAGGAGCCTATTTATGGGGTCTCAATTGCTGTCTTATATGTATCATGAAATACACAGCCTTGTAACCCTAAAGAAAAATATATAACGAGATGCAATTTCTCAAGTTCCCTTTATTGAAGCAGAGCTATATCATTCAACAATGAATAAATTCACTTTCTAAAAAAGGCATAAATAATTTTGCTACGAAATCTTATGCATATTCCTCATTCTCTCAGTAACTTTCCAATATTTGATTTTTTTAGTCTTGCCTAATGCTAAATCAGAAATAATGTTTGCTGCCCCCACTCACAGGAGTAGAAGATTCTGCTAGAACCAGTCAGGATCCCTGTTCCTGTCAACGTTAATAGCACTCGAATTTCATAGAATTTTGCATTTGCCTAGTGCTTGCGTAGAGTGGATTCTGCTTAATCATCATAAAATTATTTCAAGGCTCAGGTTTTGCTCTGAACATGGCATAAGAAATGTGCATAAATAAGATTCTTTTTTATGGCCATATCTCAACTACTTGTTTATAGTATATTTTCCATCATTATATATTTATGAAATATGAATATTGGCTCTCTACTTGAATAAATTTCAACTGTTATTGATGATTTTACAGAAGTTGGTAAAAAAAAGAACAGACCTCCTACTTTCCTTTACAATTCTTTAGTGCACACTTTGTGCTACTTTGTCAATTAATTAAAGTTTCTTCTCTCAGTTTCATTTCACTCATTTCACAAATATTTATGGAAGCAGTCCCCTAAGCCAAGCTCTGCACCCACTGGAAAGAAATCATACCTTGAGCCCTGTGACTCTTCATGGTGTCCATGGGACAGGCAAGACAGACTTGACTCAAATGGAAAAAAATTAAATCAGAATTTCTGTCTTTAATAGGTCATTTTAGTGGGTGGATATTTTATACTATATAAAAAATGATTAGTGCTTCCAAGCTGTTTAATGGTTACTAATATATAGGGGTATTGATATCACATTTTGAATGAGCTTATCTGCCCAACAACATTCATTATATAATTATTTTCTCATTAGTATTTTCCAACAAAATAAATAACTTCTAATTTGAATTCATATATTTGATGTATTGTCAGCTGAAAAGGCAAAGATGTTTTTCTTGCACTATGTATCTTGATTATGGACAGACACACAATTTTGAGTACATCAAAATAACAGAAAATTTCTGTTACCGACCCAGTTGACCTTCACCGATCTAGTCCAATTTCCTCATTTATTAATATCATATCAGTATAACGTTTTTCCTGTTGACCTGACAATCTGTAGTTTAACTGTAGCAGCCTCTTTTCTAAACATCTATTTTGAGTGTTTCATGAATAGGCTTTGTCCCTGGAAGGTAGAAATTGGATGGGAAAAGGAAACAAATTTATGGCCCTCATAAAGACTCAAGGTGCTTTCCTACTTGATTCAAGTGGTTGCTTAACAGGCATGAAGTGCTGGTGGTATTTGATGACTCTTTTTGCTAATTTATGTCATCATGGTTGTTGGGTGAATAGTTATTAGGGAGGGGAAGAGCAGGAGGAGCCAGCAGAGCTGAGGTGGGGCTCAGGTGCTCAGTGGGGGCTGCCCCAGGATTGCGTTGACTGCCCAGAGCCTTTGACCTCCCTTATCTCTACCCCCTTCTCCAAACCCCCCAATCAGATCTTTAATCTTATTCTCCTAAACTGAGGTAAGATGATGAGCTATGCTGCTTTAAAACCACTTGACATTAGCATGGGGGATATTTGAATACTGAATAGAGGTGGAAAGCCCAGCATAATATCTTTATTAAAATTTTTAGTACCCCAAGGAAAGAAAATAATTGTAATGTGCATGATGAGATGATGTAGGCTATGGCTGTGTGATGACTGAGAATATCTGAGTTACTTGAGCTTTAACAAAAGATCTCCTCAATTGTGTTTCCTTAAACTGAAACTTTTAGTTTTCTTTTTAAAAAGTGTTTTTACTTGTTAATTAACAGGCAATACTTGCAAATATTTATGAGTATGACATTTTCATACATGTATGAAATCAAGATAACCAATATTTCTATTTCCGTAACATTTGTATATGTCGAGAGGCTTTGAACTCCTATCTTCTATTCTTCATGACTTGAAAAGTAGGTCAATGTCAACTCTCTGTTTGGATATCCATTCTCCACCTCCCTCTATCCTTTCTTCCCACAAGCCTGAACTTGACATTCCTCTAGTATCATGTTTCTTCTGTATCACATGAGTCCCTCTGTCCCTTTTTTAAAAATTTATATAATGTTAAGTAACTATAATGACATATACAGAATTGTTCATAGCCATTACCATCTTTTGATGAGTTTATTGATTAATAATTTCTATTTTCTTTATTCTTCTCTGGATATATTTAAGATTTTTTTAGAATGAATATGCATTGCTTTTTAAAATCATGGTTAATAAAAGATGTAAAACTACATTATAAAAGTCCTATGTGTGTCCTTGCCACAGCACAGCAGGCTTGTTATTTTTTGTTGAGTATGGCCTGTCTAAGTACCTGATGGCAAAAATATTGAGCCCTTGCATTTACATAGTTTTTAGAAGATTTTCTCACATGGGACATATAACAGTACTTTATGAACTTAGTGATGGTGACAGGACAGACTAAAATATCGCAAAATAAGGAAACTGTGGATTAGGTGTTTTGTTTGCTAAGAATTGTGTGATTATCAAATAACATAAATAGAGCTATTTCTGAATCCTGGCACAGTTTTCTTTTTTTATGTGCTCTAATTTATATGTGCTCCCATGTGCATTAAATTCTGCAAAAGTTCCCAGGAAACCTATAAGAAAATGTAAGAGCCAGTTCCTACCATCACGCAGTTTAAAATGTAGTAAGAATAAAAGGACACATACTGACAGTTAATTAACAAGTCCATCCGTGGCACAGATTAGAAAGTGCAGTGTGTAATACAGTGAGTGGTACACAGAAGGCACTGGAGGGAGGGAGGATGGATGGATGGATGGATGGATGGATGGATGGGCAGGCAGATGGATAACAGAAAGACAGATAGATTGATGAATTAATTACTTATAGAATACAAAGGAGAAAAGTTAATATTCACATATGGTTGAATTTCAATAAAAGCTTTGACTTCTTATTGTTCAGAAAATTCTTCAGGAAGAACAAGACATATCAGCAAGAGCTTTAGGAACTTTGACTCTGCAGAAAGTAGGAATGAAGGAATTTTAAGCCAAAGGCTCATCTTGAGCAAAAGCAGTACGGCAGAAAGATCCAACTTTGACTAGAACCTGTAAGAGTAGCTTTATAAATACAAAGGGTTTGATGAGGAGACTATTTTGAAAGGAGAATGGGACTATGTCAGAGGATATCATGAATTTCAAGCTGATGTACTTAAATAATCTATAAGCACGGGAAGCTATAAAAATTTTTTGCATAAAGCAATTAATATCATAATGAAAACTTTTAAGCAAACTCTGATAGAAATATGTCTTCATGTTGAATATAAAGATAGAAGAGTTCAATACAAAGTGAAAATGTTAAATATTCAGCTGTGATTTTAAGGTATTTTCAGAAAGAAATACATGTGTAGTTTACTGTATCATTTAAATATTCCTCTACTTAATTTATATTTCTGAGCCAGTTACATCAAATTCAGCTTTAGATCAATAGGGATTCTAATTGAGAACAGATTCAAAGACAAGAAACTAGCACAAAGGTCTAGAGGCCTCCAAGTATCTATGCATATAGTTTAATAAATTTTTATATGCTAGGAGAAAGATAATAATTTATGTCTTCTGGGGTACTTAAACAAATTACTAGATATGTCAGAAAAAAATGATATTTCTTGCATGTTGAGTTCTACTTGCTGAGAAATTGTCTATCGGTTTCTTTACACCTATTAATTATTTTACCTCACAAAATCAATGATGTCATCATTTTTAAATACAAATGATTAACAACAGGTCTCTGAAGGAAACAAGGTGGGTTAGAATTCAGCTTGACCACGGACAGGCTAGTCAGTCTTGGCCAGGTTTCTCTCCATTCCTCAAGTTTTCTCCTCCATGAATGATGACAATAATCTCACTAACATCTTAAGATTGTAGGGAGGCTCAAACGTAAGAATATGGACAAGTACCCAGCATGTAGTAATAATTTATAAAGGATAGTCATATTATTAATAGTTGATGAATAATATACTTTCATCTTATTTATTTGTTTTGTTTTTCAAATCTTTGCTAGGACGTTAGCTAGGAGCCCACTGTTGTGTGTCTGAGGTCTCAGCTGAGTGACATGGTAACTCAGCCTGTGTAGTATAGGTTGCTGCTAACCACAGCAAAGCTGACCAGCCTCTTGCCTTTTGCAGTGAGTCATCTCTATGGATTCGGACTGATGGATGCGGAAGCCATGGTGATGGAGGCAGAGAAGTGGACCACTGTTCCCCAGCAACACATGTGTGTGGAGAGCACAGACCGGCAAATCAAGTAATGTGTGCCGCCCGCTGACCACATGACAATGCCCCCAAAGGACAGAGGCTAGCGCATGTCCTCCCGTCACATGTGGGAGCTAAAAGCTTCTGTAGTTTGTTTCTGATGAAATTATAAAACTGTGATAGAATGGCTAGGATTCTAAGCTGTTCAATGTTCATTAGCATAATCCAGGATCCTTAAAAGGAAAGCATCCTTTCAAAGGGGATTTGGAGAGCCCCTTCCTGGTAGGCTTTCCAAAGCTTTCTACCCTGTCAGTATCTCTATTTGATGGTGCAAGAAGTTGGGATACTTAAAAAATAAAATTATTGAATGTTCTGGAAACTAAAGCACATGCATACAGTTATCCAGAGAGTGGTGCAAAGCAAATGAGATTGCAACTTACTAGGAACTGTAGGGCCTATTCCCCAATGTTAGCTGCAAACTCAGAGCTATGTGGACAGCATTTACCAAACAATTGTGTGGAGTGGCTCCCATGGGTAAATCCAAGGAAGAGCATTTCCTCTCAGTGGCCTGCTTAGAATTTGTTCTTGGCTATCTTCTCAGAGACTTTTCTTTCTGGAAAAAAAAAAAATTTTCTAAACTTGGTTTATAATGAAACTCGAGTCACTATAAAACTTGAGGAAATTTTTTTAGGAAGCAGAAAAAAAAAGGACTCTCTTGGGCAAAGAATGAGAGGAAGAAAAAACAAAGGAGTTAAAAAATAATCAGTATTCAACACTTATGTACCAAGCCAAGAGCTAGAAACTTTGTGCATGTTTTCTACTTAAAACTTCCTAACAAATCAGGCCTGGTGGTGCACACCTATAATCCCAGCTACTCAGGAGGCAGAGGCAGGAGGATCACTAGATAGAGGCCAGCCTGGGCAGCTTTGTGAGACCCTGTCTCCAAACGAAAAAAGAAAAGAAGGGGGCTGGAGTTGTAGCTTGGTGATAGAGTACTTGCCTGGTACGTGTGAAGCACTGTATTCAATCCTCAGTGCCACATAAAAATAAATGAATAAAATAAAGATATTTTGAAAAAAAGAAAAAAAAATAACTTTCTAATTTCTATTTGACAAATGAAACAATGGGATAAAATAAAATATTTGTTCATTCATTCACAAACATATTCATCAACTAAGCAACTACTTCTCTTGCACTTAAATACTAGGGAGGAAAATGAGCTAAAATACTAGGGAGGAAAAGGAGAATAAGAAATGTTCCCTGCCATTATGAGGCTTAGAGTCTAGAGAGGGAGTCAAACAAAAATGCTAGAATGCTGTAATAAGTAGTATGATTACAAATTACAAGCTAATTCTGAAAATTATAAAAGATAGGAAATTAAAGATAGGGAACAAATCTCGCCTGTGGTTCAATGAAGGTCTCAGAGAGGTGAAACTTAAGCTTTGACATTGAAGGAGGAAGAAGAGCAACCACTGGACGTGTGATAAATAGTACTTCAGGCAAAGGAGTGTGTGCAAATTCCTCAAGATGAGAAACTTGTATTATCCCAGAAGTTAAACGGATGCCTGTATAGCTGGACCCCAGTGTTCAGGGAACAGTGGCACAGGAGGACACTAGAGAGGAAGGGAGGACCCTGTGAGAGGAAAGAGCACGCCCAGGGTTATAGCCAAGGAGTCTGTAGACCAGGAATATGAAGCAAGGCGTTGCTCATTCCCCGGCCTCCTCTCTACTGCAATGCAGTTATTCTCAAAGTGCATTCCATAGATCAGCAGCATCATTGTCTCCCAGGAACTCTAAGTTAGAGATGAAACTTCTTGGGACCCACCCAGACCTACTCAATCAGCCTCTCTGGGACTGCAGCCCAGCCATCTGTGTTTTAGCAAGGGGATTCCAATGCACACTTATGTTGGATGCCCACTTCCTGTATGAAGACAGTCACTAACCCTATATGTGGCCACCCATTTGGGTGTTAGCACTATGATCCTTTAATAACCAGTGGGCAGCTGCTTGCCTTACCATATTTAACACTCATTCCAACCTTCCAGGGTCACTCTGCTGAGTGCTGCTGCATAGTTTGCTCAAACACTCTTTTCTCTCTCTTCCTCTTTCTCTCTCTCTCTCTCGCAGGACAATTCGCCCCAACAGTGCAGTGCGCTCCATCTACAAAGCCTCGGGCTGCTCTGACAACCCCAACCACCACGTCAACTACCTGGAGCACGTAGTTGTGCGCATCACTATCACTCACCCCCGGAGGGGCGACCTGGCCATCTACCTGACCTCGCCTTCAGGAACCAGATCCCAGCTTCTTGCCAACAGGTACAGTGATAGCCTCTGCCTACTATTGTGGGGGTCACAGCAATGCTGAGCTGTCCTTAACAACAGAAAGGGACCACTGCTACTTACTCCTACCCCGAGAGCCAACTGAGGAGCCCCTAGCTGTCATGATCTCATGCTCGTAAGTCAGAGTGGTAAACTGCCTAACATTTATAAGCAAGGGAAAGTATGGCATTTAGTAGTTGGATAATTAAAACAACAACAACAAAAAAAAAAAAACACTGCAGAAAAATCGAAGACCACTTGCTTTTTGCCCTATAAAAGAATTGCAGAGCTCCAAGATGCCTTCCATTGTCTACTGACATTTGTTACAGATTAACTGAATTTGCTTGCCCAAGCACTAACTTTCTTAAGTTAAAGGAAATTCTATTTTCTAAAGCAGATGTTGAAACGTTTTTCTGCAAAGGGCCAGATAGTAAATATTTTGAGATTTGTAGGTCATGTCTATATCCCAGTGACTCAATTCTGCCATTAGAGTACAAAACCACCATAGACCATAGAAACAAATGGTTGATGACTGTTCCAATAAAACTTTATTTACAAACAGACAGTAGGTCACATTTGACCTGAGGCCTGTTTTTATGGTTGACCCTTCAGTCTTTTTTGCCTTAGAGGGTACACAGCTGTCTTTTTATCCTCTTTCCTTTTCGCTGTTCCCTCCTGAACATTTTACCACACAGGTAGGTAACTATATTGTATGTAGGCTGGTCCTGCAGAAGGAATAAGACCAGAATGTTCTAGTACAGCTTTTTATTTTCTCTCTCTGTTGACTTTTGGAGTGGTTGGAAGCCTGGAAGGGTGTTGTCACCGTTGGAACTAGACAGGGGAGATGTCAGTGTGTCTTTCAGGCCTTAATCTCGTTTCCAAAATGCCTAGAAGCTTCTTTAATTTGATTTTTTTGTTTGTTTTTTCCCAGAGGAACATTTAATGGGAGAAAACCCCTTTTTCTCAGTAGCATATACAGTCCAAATAATGAAAGTGGACCTTTTATGTAAGTTCAACCACCAACCCACACTCCAAGTGTCATGGCAATGGTGATCTTCCTGAGGACACTAACAATGAGCCAGTGGAGCCGAGAGGCCAGGGTCAATACAAGTTTGTAGAACCGAATGGGGATTTGCATTTTAAAATCCCCAAATTTCATTGACTGCAAGAAGTGAAAAAAAGAACAATAGCATTTCTAGGTGAGAGACTAGGCATACAGACTCTGAAATCCTCAAGTGAGGTTTTATTTCTGTGCTTGAACTTGCTGTTTTCTTCTTTCAAAATTAACATCTTCCATTAGGACATGGTGAAACCTGGTCTTAATACGTTTCATATGAAGTGCAGCTTTGCCAGGATAAGTACGCAGGTGCAAGGAACGTCAGGTTTCCTTGGCATCAGCTCCTGGGGCATTTCCTCCATGCCCTCCTCCGAGTGTAGACAGAGGTCTCAGCTGCTGCCTGCCAGGTAATTGCCACTACCTGCCTGATGCTTCTTTCCAGCAAGCAATTCCGTGATTAATGGAGGTCTTACCAGCTGTTGTTACCAAAGCCAGGGAAGGCCTTTATTTTTTGTTTTTTTTGGGTTTTTTCCCTTTGCTTTATGACTATTCCTCTGCATTTAACTTTGAGTAATCTAGTGAAACACTACAAAGTGCAAAGATTTGCTTCACATATGTAGCTCTTATGCCTTGAGCCCCCTTCCTTGTAGAAAACAGTCCCTTCACCGTTGCTGTTTGCTTGGGAAACTCAGTCTCTTTTGCCTCTCGGGGCTCTTCCTGCATATTTTGCCTTTCATTGTTGGCTTCCCCCAAAAAATGACATCAGTGGGGAAACTTGCAAGCAGAGCAGCTATGGATTCCATCACAGGCATGTGGTGGATTGCAAGGTCACTGGCTTCAGGCTCACATACATTCTTCTGCAACTGACATCTGCTTTGCGCTTTGCAAAATGCTGAATGCAATAGTACTGCAGGACTCACATCAGAGATAAGAGAAAGGCGTCTCAGACATTAGTGACTTGTGCTCACAAGTCTACCTCAGTCTCCCCCATTAAGACCACTGGGAATAAGGTTTGCACCCAGAGCACCCCAGTTGGAAACATCTTAACATACTGCTCTTTGTATATCCTTTAACTTAGCCCTGAAAATACATAGCCATCAAAAAGAGGTAGCAACATTGGAGATTAGAGGCCCTGGAGGCACTGAGAATTGTAAAGGATGTTATGAATTCATCTACCTACAGCTCCCCAAAACCATAGCTCTGGGCAGCTGACCCTTTTAAATGTGAAACAACTGCACCCGGTCCCATAGCCACCAGTGGCCACCTTCCAGGGCCAGGCTCCCCAGTTCTTGGGCTTCACATTGGCAGTCTCCCTCCTACCCAGGCAGCTAGAGAAAGACAGAGGTTTTTTGGCATTCTTTCCTTCTGGCATATTCTAAAGATTTCATTTTATTAGAGGAAATTTCTAGTCAAAACCTCTCAGTCTGACCTAGTGGCAAAGAGTCCTTGCGTCTTCTCACCTTGGCCCTGAATCAAAGCACAGTCCCAGAACAGGGAACTGAGAACAGGGAGCACAGAAAGAGACAGAGGGGCGGGAGGAGGAAAGACAAGTTTTGCTCCTGTGTCCTTCGGTTTGGTCTGCAAGGCACTACTTCTCCCCCAGGGAAAAAGGTGGCTAGGTCATGTTTTAGAAGGAATTCATTTGTCAGAGTTTATTCATAAGAGCCATTGTTTTAGTCAGCTGTTGCATCACTGTGAGCAAAATACCTGACAAGAACAACTTAGAGGAGGAAAAGTTTGTTTTGGCTTGTGGTTTCAGACGTTCAGTCCGTGGTGTGGACTCCATTGCTTTGAGCCTAAGGTAAGGCCATGGTGGAAGGGTATGGTGGAGGGAAGCTGCTCTGCACTTGGGGGCCAAGAAGCAGAGTGGTGAGGAAGAGAGTTTGCAGGGAAAATGAATCTTTACCAGGGCTGAGTCTAGTGACCCACCTCCTCCAGCCCCGCCCTACCTGCCTACAGTTACTACTCAGTCAGTCCATTCAAAGAAGGATGTACTGATTAGGTTACACTGCTCATACCTAATCATTTCATCTGTGATTATTCCTGCATTAACAGAAGAGAAGGACACCTCTTATCCAAATCCTAACATCAATAAATGGTTTCCTTGTTGGACACTTATCTATCTTTGTTTCACAGAAGTCAACATTTCTAAGAAAATCATATAAAGCAAGTTAAAAGTAGGAATTACAAAAATTTAAAACCAAGTTTTCCGGGGCTGGGGTTGTGGCTCAGTGGTAGAGCACTTGCCTAGCGCGTGTGAGGCACTAGGTTCGAGCCTCAGCACCACATTAAAAAAAAATAAATAAATAAGATAAAGGTATTGTGCCATCTACAACTAAAAAAAAAAAAAAAAAATTCACCTAGCAAGGATGATTAGCGATGAAGATTTAGACTTCTACCAGCCGCCCCACCTCTCTCTTATCCTTCCAGGAGGTGCAACTCTCTTCTCACAGACTTAGAATTCCCTACACTGCATGCTTTAGTAGCCTGGCAGCCAGCATAGAAAACTCCCCATGGCTTTCAAAGCAGTCCCTCTACCCTATAGTTCACTCATAGCCAACTACAGAAGGAAGGGTGCTGGGAGCCAGCTGGGACCCATAATCTGGGGCCACAGTCAGGGTCATCTCCCCTTTGCGATGAAAAGAATAGAGACAGACCTTAAATATAACCCCGGGGAGGAGAGCCGAAATGACCGAGACTCTCCATGCCTTGTTATCTGAGACCCCTCGTCAGGTGTTGACAAAATATGCGGCCTACTTTGGGGACCTGAAAACCTGATCACTTTTCAGGGCTGGCTTTGCACAGCTCCTTGGTCATTTTCCTAGACATTTCACTGAGGAATTTTTTTCAGAATTGTTTATCCCCTCACCGCAGCGATTCCTTGACGGTCTGTTTTCTGCAAAGTGCTGAACACTTTGACACGTCTGTGTGGGCCGTCTGGAGCCCCTCAGTGGCTCCCTGTCTTAGCTGATGGGCACTTGCCCGAACTCCCGTGGAGAACAGCTGTTGGAGGGAGAATGTTTACCCAAGCGTCTGCAGGTGCTAAGCACTGGAAGGCACTCAGCAGCATTTAGAAATCTAGTCCAACTTGAGCTTCTTGCCCCATTAGCCCAGCAGGCAACCTTCCCTGGCAAACCACTTGGATAATTTAGTGGGTCGGAGCCATGAGTCAACAGAGCAGTGCTAGTGTGGACAAATGGATAGTTCCTTCTCTCACCTTTGTTCTCCCCTTGCCTTCCCACCCTTTCAGTCCCCCTCTTGGCCTGTATACCCTGTTTAACAAAAAGCCAAACAGAATATTCAGAGCAAGTGGTTTATTTTGTTGGAGACCACCGAGATCAGGCATGCAGGGAGAAGCAAGAGGAGTTTTGGTCCTTTGAAGACATCTTTAGAGCCAGGCACAGTGGTATGTATACACATGTAATCCCAATGAATTGGGAGGCTGAGGCAAGAGGATCACAAGTTTGAGGCCAGCCTCAGCAATTTAGCAAGGCCCTAAGCAACTTAGCAAGACCCTTAGCAAGACAAAATAAAAGGGGCTAGGGATATAGCTCAGTGGAAAAACATCCGTTGGTTCAATCTCCAGAATCAAAAAAAGAAAATAAAGAAAGATAAGAGCAGATTTCAATGGAAGCTTTTAAACTACAGCATTCAAATTCTGCTTTTGTAAAAATTTTTCAAACAGAAGTTTGTCCCATCAAATTCTTCTATTTGTTAGACTTATGAAAAGCTGCCCTTTTTTTCTGCCTCAATCTCTCCCACTCTCAACTCATTCTGTTTTAGATTCAGCTTAGCTCCATGGTACTCTGTTCCAAATTTTGAGCACCAACTGAAAGCTGAAACTTTGCCTCCCTTCCAGATTTGTAATCTCAGTATAGTCTCGAGTAGAGAGAAGTTTGCTTTCTAGTCTGTATAATTAACTGCATCTAAAATGTAGCGT